CTTTTGAGTCAAACTGTGGTGAATGCATTACCAAAATTCAGAATTACCATCATAAGTAATTTTTTTGAGTTGCTTTTCAAAGCAGATGGGAGTAGAATATGGGTGACAGTGGTACAGGATAAACTGAATTGGTCAGAGCTTGCTTTCTGTATTTGGGACAATGGAAATAGTAGCTGGTATAGGTGGTAAGGTTGAGAGGGTGGTACAAATATGGTGGTGAGAATTTTTAGTGAGCAAGAACCACTGCAACCTCTTGATTCTGTTTTGTTTGCTTCTTTCTCCCTTGGCTAATTTTCCTTTACTATCTGCGTCACTACATCATCCCTGATGTGCTAGTGATAGTGTGAAATAATGGTTTATCTGGAGATACTGTAAAGTACAGGTGTGTTTTTCACCCACGCTCTTGCATGTAATCACCCTGACTCTCTAACCTGTAAGCAACCTGACTGAAGAAATGATTCACCTTGATCACACTGGTCCATTGTTTGAGATGCTGGGGTATGGCAAGTTGCTCCTCAGGTTGGAGAGGGGAAATTCAGGTTTGGGTTGTTGGAAGTGAAGTGTGTGGAGCCATCTGCTTGAGAAACCTTGTGGAACTCATTTTTGAGGATGTAGCAGACATGATAGGGTGGGCAAAGGCGTGAAGTGAGGTGGATAGATGCAATGGATGTGGGCCCTTTGTGGAAAGCATTTTAGCAGGATGCAACATCTACAATTGCTAGAGAAGCTTAAGGTACATGGAATTCTGAGAATAGCAAATTTTGGATTTTTGTGTTTTTTTTTCCACAGGAGAAGAGAGCAGGAATTCTTCAGTGTGGTTGAAAGTAGGTAGTGTTGTCCCTCGGTTTTCAATTCTCAGACACTTTTTTTTGTTGTTGTTCACTGTCCCTCAAGGCTTATGTCCAAATCTTGATAGAGTGGTGTCAGAATTTACAGATCATGCCCAAATAAGAAGGCATACTATCCACATGAACTTGAAGAAAATTTATAAGTGGAGGGATGGGCTGGAAAGTGGCAGATGGAATTCAGTGTAAGTAATTCTATTGAGTTGAAGAAACATCAGTAATTTTCCTTAGAAATAAATTGGATCACTGCTGTTGGAATTTTATGTTTTTATCATGGGAAATAGAATCAAGGAAAAATAAGATATCAGCATGAACCTATTTGGATCTTGCATTGCAGTATCGGCCTCTGTAGAGAAGATGTTGAAGCTTCAGTGAGGATGCGATGCAGATTCACTTGACATTGTACAAAAAAAGTGACAAACAGTTTTTTAACAAAAAATATCTTGATTTATGAACGAACAAAGATAGAAGTCCAACAAGCAGACCTTGCTTGATCAAGATGATTTTCAGGAGGATGGAGGGAGGGTGAAGGTCTTGACTTTGGATTCAGGAGGAAGCAAATGCTATAAGAACAGAAGTGGTACCCTTGTAGGAGCCAGTAAAAGGAGGGAAATTAATGTTCTAAACTTATAAAAATAGAAACTACACTTTCAGAAGAATGTTGGTAATTTTGGCAAAGATGCAGCTGAGATGGTTCTGGAAGCATTGCATAATATCTTTGCATGAAGTGCTGTATTATACACAATCTTAAAAAGTAATGCGAACTTGGACAGATTCCAAAGAATAACTGGATGTCTCCGACCCTTTTATGATGGTTTTTCCCTCTCAACATGTACAAAATTCACAGCACTTAATTGTAGCATGTGGGATTAGGTTCCTTTTAACTTGTGGAATGAGGATAGAATGCTTTGGACTGAGGGCAACGAATCTGTAATTGTATGGGAGTGGACAGTCTCTTGAGGATGCTTTGTGCTGGCTGGAGCTTATTCAGTCTCTTATTTTCCACTTGTGAATCACGTAAGCTATTTGTATCTTTTAGTCTGAAATGTTCTTTGCTTTTTGTTTTGTGGAATGGACATAAAGTGCCTTTTACTGTGTCACCAAGGCCCTGAGAAAGCTGTTTAGTTTTATACTAGTTGCTAAGCTGTATTTTGTTACTTTCTATTAATGCTAAATATTGGTGGTGTGTGGTCTAGTGCTTTGAGGCTGCCACTTGTGTCTTTTTTCCCTGTTCCAGTTAGCACTTAGACTGGGTTGGATGGGATGGGCAGGGAGGGAAATGGCAAGACTGGGAAACTGCATTTGTTTTCCTTTGGGTGGGGAATTTTAAAATAGAGGTGTACAAAATTTATACAGATTTCAATAGAGGTGGAGAGGGTGGTGGGGGAAGAGAGCGAGAGGGAGAGAAACTGTTTCTCGTGGTAGCAGGGTCAGTAATCAGACAATTGAGAGATGAGGCGAGGGTGGAGGAGAGAAGAGGATGGGGGATGAGGTAGTGGAACTGGATAGCTGTGTCAGAAAATTGATACTATGGTGGGATGAATGGCAAGCTGTGCTGCTAGTTTTGAAGATTTACCCCCTCCACACTCCTGTCCTCCCCCCGCCCCCAACACCATCCTTTTTAGGGTGAATCAATATACCTATTTTTCTGAACTGGATCCTTTTTCTCTGACCTAGATTGGTAACTCCTGATGTGGACCAGTGTTGGTGAATTGCAGGATGAGTGGATGCAGGAAGGTTCATGTTACTGTTTTATCCATTTATGGTGTCAAAGTAAATAGTGCTTCTGATGAATATATGATGTTCAATGTCTTCCTGATTTTAAGATGCTGATGTCTAATGTACCAGAGTACACTGGTGTTTTGAATAGACTGGCCTGGTCTTTTTGCACTTGCTGGTTAGCATTGTGAGGAGTCTGCAAGTAATGTATTGATTTAAACATGGAATATTCCAGCCTTGCTACTACATTTTTGAAGGTAATGACCTTCAGATGAGATGTTAAATTGAGACCTGGTCTGGTTCAGGATACAGGGAATTTGAGGCCAAATACATTAACAGTGTATCTGAATTGGGGTGACATTCACCAAGCTGCATTCATTGCACACCTCACGTGTTTAATTTTTCTTGCTTGGTTGCTTATACAACTGAGCTGCTTGCTAGGCCACTATGGGAAGACCTTGAGAATCATATTGAGAGAAGCTGGAGTCATGTATACATCAGAACAGGAATGAATAAGGGGTTGTTCAGTTCCTGGAGGTCACTTTATGTTTTGGAAGGCAGCTTGCTCAATCACCTCTCCCCAGTGAATAAAGTTGAGAGCTGGTATTTGTTGTTGGCATCTGTCTGCCAGTTGTCCAAGGAGCATCCAGTTTGTGAGGCAAGTCTCCACTATTCCAGCACACTCCCCTACTCCTCAATAAACCTGAGGTCATTCGAAACACTACTGCCTGTGTTTCACTCATTCAACCATCAGCCCCAGGCTTTACTAGTCTCTGATGGCTTTGGTCTACCTGACTGCACATACATTGGCTTCTTTGCAAATCTGAGCTGATCAGTGTGAGTAGTCAAAGTGCAGTGAACTCCCATACTGCTCCCCACCCCCCACCCAAAAAAAAAAAAAGATCTACTGCCAGCAAAAGAAAATGATTGATAGGGCATGAAGCATGTTTCTTGCACCTAATGAGTTCCTTCAATTTGGCTGGTGACTGGGGCCTTTTAATCCTGATCAAGATAAATATCCAAACTTTGCACCTCCTCTTGAAAGTCACTATCACTGTTGTTCCTTTTCTTTTTTGCAATAAAACAGTCTTTCTGTTTTTTTTTCCTCCCTTTTGTCCGACTCCAGAAGTCGCTGACTCCTTGCTGTGGTATATTTCGAAGGATGATGTCCTCTCTTCTCCTCCTCCTTCGTTTTGAATTTCCCTAAGTATCTTTTAATTAAAAACATGAGCAGTGACAAAACCTTTGGTTAGAAGATACAGCATAGTTGAGCTCAGCTATGCTCTCACCCAAGATTAGATGCTTTAACATTTGAAGTAGCTTTCCTGAGCCAATCATAATAATATTTATAAAAATCTACTTTCTGCACAAGAATGTCACTGGCTAGACAAGCATTTATTGCCCATCCCTGATTGCCCTTGAGAAGATGGTGGTGAACTGCCTTCTTGAGCCGCTGCAGTCCATATGGTGTAGGTTGAGCCACAATGCTGTTAGCAGGAAGAGTTCCAGAATTTTGACTTGGCAACAGTTAAGGAAGGGGCGATTTTAGAGTTCCCAGTCCAGGTGCTCTGTAGGACTTGGAGGGGAACCTATGAGTGGTGCTGCTGTCATGTGACTGCTGCCCTTGTACCTCTACCATCTAGAGGGACCGGGTTTGGAAGGTGCTGTCAAAAAGGCTGAAGTTGAAAGATAGCAGTTCTCTTTTTTTTTTTGTTGAAGTAACCTCTAACTTACTGAATCCCCATGAAGCAAGGTTCCTGCTGGCAATAGCTTCTCACTCTTGCTCTCGCTCAGATGTGAAAGCCCTTGTGACAGTGCACAGGAGATTTACCAGAACAGCTCCAGTGATGAGGGACTTTAGGAACCAGGTTAGGTCAGAGAATCTGGGGTTGTTTTGAATGGAGTGAAGCAGATTGAATGGAGTCCTGATAGGAGTGTTGAAGATTATGACCGGTATGGAGAAGTGAACGGATAAGTACTTGCGGGAAGTAAACTTCACCACAGGGCTAGAGTAAGGGAGTGGGGCTGACTGGACAGCTCTGTCGAGAGCTAGCATGGATTTAATGGACTGAATGACTCTCTGACCAAGGTGTTACCTTTGACATTGGGGAAGACTTACTACCATAATCAAGTAACCGGTAATAATAACTGCTGTCTTTTTTTACCCTGTGTATACCCTGTAAAGAAAGGAAAAAAATTTTAAAAAAACTATACACAAGTTAACAAGATGTAGAAGCTGTTTACACTGAACACGGTCTGGCATAATCTGTTAATGCTCTTCTAATAGGGTTTCCAAGTACAGCTCGAGCTGATGACGCATGTTGAATGTTTTTCATCACAGTTTTCCTTTTATAACCCAAGGGAAGATGATGGTATTATTTTTATTCTGCAGTTGTTGCTAGCCTCTCCCATTGTTTCACTCGAAACAGAGTGAAACTTTTCATTGTAGAAGGCAATCGGAGATGTGAGGCTTTGTGTTATTGCGGCACAGCCGGGAAGAATTGGGGAAAATGTTTACTTTGCCCAAATTCATCTCCTACGTGTTGGCTTGCTTCCAACCCAGGATATCTGATGCCATTAAAATAACGGATGTGCACCGTTGTGCGGCTCACTGCTGTACTCCATTAAAGCTGCATTCTGCTCCCATTTACCCTCAGTCCTCTGTTGTTTGGCTGGAGAGATTAGTATTAAGATCAGGAGTTTTTTACAGGACTGCAAATTAGTGTTTTGAAAAGAACTTCGTACACAAACATTGTTTCCAGAAAAGTTGTCTGAAATGGTAAGAAATTCCTAATGTAGCTTTAATCTATGCAATGGAGTTTTCAAAACGATAACTGGGCTTCTGTAGATTTGGGAGGGGGGAGGTGTGGCAAGGGAAATCAGGGAGACTTTTGGTGGGAGTTGAAAGGAGTAATAGCAATGGAATGAGTGGAGTTCGTGTGTTGCACACGACTTAAGATGGATGCACTGTGGCAGGTCTGTTTGAAGTTGCAATACCCAATCCGGTTAGAATAATTTATTCCTTCAGGTTCTTTTTTGAAGGGGTTTCAACTACCTAAGTGGGAAACAAACGCCAAATGTAAAGCTTTTGATGTGCTTTGTTGTATGTTTACAGTTCAGCTTTTTGTATTTTTAATGCATTTTATATTGCCTTTTACAGATGGACTTCTTTATCCCAGGCAATGGAATTTATTGCAAGTAATGCCACCACTATTCTTTTCTTTTCTTTTCTTTTTAGCAGAAACTCCTGAGGCTGTTGCAGTATGAGCCATGGGGTATGACGTCAATCGGTTTCAGGGTGAGGTGGATGAAGATTTGATTTGCCCAATTTGTAGTTGGGTTTTGGAAGAACCTGTACAAGTGAGTAAACTAATATTAAATTTAGGTGGGTAATTAATTTAGGTAATTAATATTGTTAGCAACTCCTTTGTCTGTCCAACTGTCTTTCTCTCTCTTTGGGCTCTATCCTATCGTTTACTCCCTACCCCACCCACCTCTCTAATTTCTGCATATAAATTGACGTTTTCCCAGCCACTATCAGTTCTGAGGAAGGGTCACCGGACCTGAAACGTTAATTCTGTTTTCTCCTTCACAGATGCTGCCGGACCTGCTGAGCTTTTCCAGCAACTTTTTAATTTAGGTGGGGTTGGTTGTGCAGAGGGATCCCAAATGGTCTTGGTGTCCAAAGTATCTTAACTTGCAACCTATTCAACTCACAGGATGGGGGGTGGGTGCTCACAACTGTGCCTCATTGTGCAAATTCCTTTGAAACAAAAGGAGAAAATAACACAAGGTTTTCAGAGAGCACTGTCAGAATCAAGATGATTGGAACATGCTGGCTCACCCCACCATTTTATCTGAATGCGCCTTGTATTTCTTTTGTGATTTTTGATGTTGGTTCAGGGCAATAGGTGTCAATGGGAATTTTGACTGAGAATAGGGAAATGATGCCATCAGATCTCCTTGGGTGAGTGTGATCTATTGATGCGGGGTTGGAATGACTGCAGCTGTACTGCATTAGAATGCTGCAGGGTCAAGAGATTAACAGAATGCTTCATACATTGCACAGCTGGATAAAATCTTTTGAGTTTTAAATAGCAAATTGTGATTCTGTGAATTGAGTGGCTGTCAAGTTCCAAGACTTGAACATGCAAAAAAAATGAGGGAAAGAGAGAAATTGCTGTTGCTCAAAATGTGCCTTAGTCTTGTCAGCATCTGAGGAGAGAAAAGAGAGTTTAACTTTTTAAGCACAAACACACTGACAGAACTGGACTGTAGATAGGACAGTTTTTCCCTGGTAACCAAAAGCAGTTCTGGGTGACAATGTACATACAAATGCTTAGTTAATACAGTGACAGCCATGGTGCCTTCCAGGCAGGATTTATAAGACTTATTGAGTTGCTTTATTTAGTGGCTGAATGAGTCATGTGGCTCAAACAACCTTTCTGGTCTTGGGCAATAGCAGAGATACTCCATTTTGTCTCTGTGTGCTCCTTAGTTAGGAAGGGGGAAATAGATTGGAGTTCCTGTTTTCCATCTCTCCACCTCTGGTGGAAGTGCTTATTTGTTACATGAGACTAGAGCTGGGATCAGCTGGGCTGTCAAATGGCCTGCTGATACTCCCTTGTGAACCTCGCTGCCTACTCCTCCTATTGCTTGTGTTACGAACTGTATGATTTCAATCTGACTTTACGGTATGTTTGTTTGTAAGAAAGCAGTCTCTCTCGTCTGCTTATTTTCTGCCCTGCTTTTCAGTGATTTTAGGGGAGTGTGGTAAGTGTGCATCTCCTATTGGCTAGTTGGGCGATTCGTATACTTTATTAAATAAAATTAGTTGGGGAGGGAGCTAGTATTGCATCAGCAGAGGGGAGCAACACATAATGGATTTGACTGAAGGCAGTGTTTCAGAATAAGCCCCTGTATCTTGTTCCACTGTATGAATTGGCACTGCAGTGCTGTGGATTGCACTACTATTCAATTGATTTCTTTTTGTTGTGTGCAAGAAGCTCTCTGGATCTTTGGCAATTTGTAATGGTTTGAAGATATGTTGAACTCCGTGAATGGCATGTACTGACTTGAGAGAGAAGAAATAGCGGCAGGAATTCATAGTGCGGTGACAAGCTAGTAACCACATTATTTGGATTCCAAGAATAGTAGCCAAATAGGAATAAAGAACTTAAAATGCCAAATTGCTACAACCAGCTTCTATGAACAGAACTCTAGTTACAAGTACGGTCATGAGAGCACAATATTCATGTAAACGTATTGGACTTGCTGTGTGACATACTGAGTGACGGGGAAATGTGGAAAACAAGCCTTTGTTTGCAATGAGGAAGTTTTATCATGTTCCCAGATGAGAATATTTTCATGTTTTGAGGTTTGCATCTCTTGTCTTGGGATACAGATTTGAACCGAGAAGGGAAGGCAAAGAGTTGATGTGTTTTAAGAGGCAGTACGATTTTTAATTAGCTCCTTGAATTTGATATGTGTCCTAGTTTGCTAACTGCTGCTGTATGTTTTTAAGCTGGTTGAGAGCGGGTTAACCCTATCATTTCAACTGGATAAATGCTGGTCTGAAAACAGCTTGAAGATGAGATTGATGGACCTCCTCCTCTCTAAAGTTCTTCAGTCATCTCCTGTGGTTCCCCCTTCTTTTCCCCCCACCTCACTATATAGTTCTGTAAAATATAATTTTCAATGAGTATATTATGGATTTTTCCACTAGTTTATGAATTTAATCCCAATGAAACGATGCGTCATAGATTTGATGGGGCACCTTTTAAAAAGATTACGGGAGCAACTGACAAGCTCAAAATGGTACTTTGATACTGACTGCATCATTAAAAATTGGCTCCTTGACAATGCCGCAGAATTTTTTTTTAACCTTGAATTTGATTAAAGGAACTTCACCTCTGGCCAGTGTTCATCTCCATACTTGGGGAAAATTGTGTAGGGGCAGTGTATCAAGCTTGTTTTGTACAATCTGATCTTGGTGATCTATGCATTTCGTGATCATTTCGTGATCACATCGTGTCGATTTATAGCCGTGCATGCTATGGAAGCAGATCTAATTTTATTGAATAGAGCCTGAGTGTGCTTAAACTGGTTCACCACAAATTGGATTCCCAGATGACTTGTGCTGTTTAGTTTGTTTATTTTCACTCTCTCTCTGTCTCGCTCTCAGTTAATTTGCTGTCTCCTCTGCTCTTTCCTAGGCACCACACTGTGAGCATGCTTTCTGTAATGCCTGCATCACTCAGTGGTTCTCCCAGCAGCAGACCTGCCCAGTGGATCGCAGTGTTGTTACTCTAGCCCACCTTCGACCTGTTCCCCGCATCATGCGGAACATGCTGTCCAAACTTCAGATCACCTGCGACAATGCTAGCTATGGCTGCACGGCTGTGGTGCGGCTTGACCAGTTGACCTCTCACCTCAACGATTGCGAGCACAATCCGAAGCGACCTGTGACCTGTGAGCAGGGATGTGGGTGAGTTTCCTACAATGAAACATAGTTGAGCTTTCAGAACTGTGTACCCTTTAATAGTTTAGGTAAATAAATGTAGAACATGGTTGTTACTGAGCCATATGCCCAAGAAAAGGCCCAAGTTTGTGTTGAGTTTATCCATCTTCCCCAATCCCAGTGGTGACATGCTACTAGTTGTCTTGGCAAAGAGCTGTCTGACTGAGGGGTTAGAGACTAGAATAATCTGGCTCATGCATGATGAATGGTCACCTGGGTAATGTACTGATAATCCAGTCGTCAGGGAGTTGAGAAGAAATGTTGTTTGTTATTTACCTTTTTCTTTTCTTTGTCTCATATTTGACTTGCTTTCTCTAGTCTTCTAGAGTTAACTCTTTGGGTGGCTGTAGAACTTCTGATACTGTTCTTAAATTGTCGTTCTTCATTGACCCCAGAAGACAATGATAATCAACTAACATCATAACCGTCTCCTATCCTGAAGCTGTCTGACATCTGGCTTTGCTTGCTCTTTCCTCCAAGGATCGTTTTGTTGCAGTTAAAAACTGGAATGCTGGCCTCTTCTCCCATTCACAACCCACCCAGCCATGACAGATCAATCCCTCTGTCCTCATTTGGCTGTCTTGGCTTCAGAATGATTCATGATATAAGATGAAGAGAAAGTAAAAAAAACCTCAGGAATATGATGAATGTAAACTGATTTCTGGATGTTTCCTTAGCATTGTAATCCATTTACAGACTCCATTGTCATGGAAAGAAATGGGTAAATCTTCCCTCCTTTTTATTTGCCCTTCTCCACAAGTGAAGTGCTGATCATGGCCATGCTGACTAGTGAAAGTGTCTATCAGTAACAAGCTGGCCATTCAAGGAGATGAGAATCTGTGACTTGAGTGAACCTGTGATGTTCTCATACACCCTTCATTCAGTAGCAGGGTGGTGCCTAGTCATTTAGCAAGTGAAAACTTCGATCCAATCTTTTGAAGATGCTTCCGTTTTGATAATTGAGATGTTTTAACTGTCATAGTATTTACTTTTGCGTAGTTGATTTAATATTTAACAAGATTTGTTCTTGGGGAAAATATAGGATTGGGATATAAATAAATATTATCTAAATGTTTTTTCTTAGCATTCACTAAGAAATTATTTAATTAAAGTAAATAAATTATTTGATCAGTTTGGCCTCATTAGTAAACCAGGGTTTGCTTGTCTTGTATTATCTAATGGTTTGAATGAATACATAGTGATTGTTTGCTCCTGTCAACACTTACTATGTATGGTATAACTGGTAGAAAATGATAACATGATTACAGTGATTTAACCGAACTTGATGTTTAAAAACCTCTTTGAAGACTTAGTTTATGTAGCGCATATTCAGCTACTGAGCTGAAGACAGGATGATAGTCCGTTTATGCATCAAACCAACTGAGTCTGCACATATTAAACACAACTTGTGACCAGCACTACTGATGTTTTAAAGCAGGATTGTTTCTCCAGTAAAGTGCAGTGAGTGGAGGTTAGCTACATAATACAAAGTGTACAAACACAGATATAGGAAAAGGCCAGCAGGTCTGTCAGTTGCGCCAGAGAACACAATAACTAAAGACATCTTTCCTTCTCTTGACGCTCTCTTCTCCTCCCAAAAAAGAAAGAACAAACAATCTCCCAGGAGAGACACAAAATTCTGAAGAAACCCAGAGCCAATATTGAGGAAAATGTTCTAAATTTCGCTCCCAACTCCCTCAGGTGTTCAAAAAGTTAGTTTATCTTAAGGGTACGCACACTACAAAATTTAAGTTCTTTCATTCTTGGGCTAATTTTAAAATGACAAATGACACCAATTGGAGAATGTGTATCTTTTTAGTATTGCTCAGGGGGTTTCTACTGTTCTGCTATTTGACCTCGACCTTCTTCCCTTTTTTTCAGATTAGAAATGCCTAAAGATGAACTACCAAACCACAACTGTACCAAACACCTTCGCACGGTGGTACTTCAACAACAGGGGAAAATCGCAGAACTGGAGAAGGCTTCAGCAGAGCATAAACATCAGTTGGCAGAGCAGGTGGGTGCTTGCTGGCATCTGGCCCAGCAATACTAGCGAAATGTTAACCTGGGTGCTGTAAAGGATTTGACTTGCCATATTGACTATCTAATATCATTATCATTGACCATGTAAATGCCCTTCTACTTTGCCCCTAGAGAAGCAGCAATAACTTTTTTTTAAGCTTAGACCTCACTACTTTAAAGGTCGGCCTCTAAAATGGGCATTGTTTGTATTTGCCAAAACTCACCAAATGTCTCATAAATGGTTAAGGTCTATTTCAGAGTTGGTAGTGATGGGGTGGTAAATGCTCCATTTATTTTTGGCAGAAATAGCTGTACTTATGATTATTGTATGAATGAAGTACTTGGTTTTTTTTTTTTTTTTTTGAAAATATGTTTTGTTAAACATAACCATTCCAAAATGTGCTGTGAGGTATTTGGGTTGTTTGGTGAAGGACCTCTCCTTGGCTATGTCAGAGTAAAAATTGTCAACTGTTGGCGTTTAGCTCAATAGGACTCCTAAGTCCTTCCTGCATTTAACCACACAGATGAGTTCTGGCTTTGAGGAGTCTAGTTGTATTTACGCTGCAACTATGTGAGGCCATTGCACTTCTTCATATCAATGTTAAAGCTGTAGAGCAAAACCCACTCTGGGTGTGATCTGACACTTGAGCAAATCAGAGCAAGCTCCCTCTAAGGAGGAATCATTGGGAATTATATAAGAAACCTGCTCAGATGTGTTTATAGCTAGTTTGATTTTTATGTGGTATCTTTCTGACAAAGGGAGTTGTAAAGTTTGCAGAGTGGAGCATTAAAAGCAACGTATGCTTTGCAGCAAGTGGCACGCTCCTGTGTGAGTCTTCTGTGCAGTGCCTTGTTCATGATGGAACCATTAACCATGCGCACAAACTAAATCTCATTATTACAAGTCAAATTTCAATAACTCTCCTCCAAATGAAAAAGCTCTTGCAATCTGTTTTCATTTATCCATTTTTCTCATGGATATGCAATGTTTTCACTTTTCTAATAAACAGCTGTTATTGAAACCAACATTCTTATTGTGCTGTCTTGCTATGCTGGCTACCTCATTTGCACATTTGCTCTCTTTATAACGTGGGCACCGTATGTAGTAAACTGCCTGAGATCTTGAAGACTTTGGGGGCTGCTGCTTTGTTAAACAGGAGAAGATTGTGTCTGTGAAGGGTAGGATTGCATTGCCTTGTGTAATACTGAGTTATCAAGGCTTGGAAGGTTTGGCTCAATAGTTTTAAAAGTTTGCCTTGACACTGAGATGAGTCAAGGGTACCAACTCCTGATTGTTATCACTGATTGGTGCTTGACTAAACAAGCTCATGGGCAGTGACTTGACAGGCAGTCACTTTTTTCTCTTGCAGATAAATAAAGCCCTTGGGACAAAATGCTAGAGGTCTGCTGACATTTGCAACCACAAAAAAGGGAGACGGTAGTAGAGAGAAATTGGGGGTTAGATGAAGTAAATGGGAGGTGTTTCCAAAGCATTGACAAAGGTGTAGGCATGTTTGGCCTATTTTGTGTACTTGCTTCTGACCATAGAGGAACTGTACCTTGATGTTTTTGGGCATTTTCCTTGGTGAAAGTATGTCCCCTAAAGAAAATTTTTAAAATAAGCTGGTAATATTCAGCAGCTCCGTCAGCATCTGATTAAAGGCAGAGTATTGACGATCATTGATGAACTCTGTGTGTGTGTGTTTTCCTTACTTTGCAGAAACGAGACATTCAACTTTTGAAAGCGTACATGAGGGCTATCCGCAGTGCAAACCCAAATCTACAGAACTTGGAGGAAACCATTGAGTACAATGAGATCCTAGAGTATGTTTCTGTTCAGTTTCTTTCCTTTTTCCTTGTGCCTTACACCTTTCTGTGACTAAGTAGGGAAACTATTGACTTCTTTCCAGATCTTGGCTGCTTTGTAGCCGGCCACTTTAAGATATTAGAGAGTTATGGGCAGTCCATGCTTTGTAAGCTGCTCGCAGACTTCCAGTTAATTTCCTAAATATGCTTGTTCTGTATCTGTGACCTATATTTCTGCAGAAGTTTAGAATGTAGAGCATTTAAATGGAGGTTTTTAAGCTAAATTAAGATACTGAAGTAGGATCTATTTAGACTTGTATCCATTCTTTAAACCCAATTCTAACACAGTCTGTCATTGCATAATTTATGATCCTATATAAAGCAATCACTAAATCTCCCAGTAACATCTTGGATGTTGGCTGTGGCTCAGTAGTATATGATTGAAGATGACACTCTAGTGTAGTACTGAGACCCCATCCATCCTCTCGAGCGGACACGCAAGATCCCATGGTACAGTTTTGAAGAAGAGAGGGGAGTTTGCACCAGTGCCCTGGCCAGTATTTATCTCTTAATCAACATCACTAAAAGGGGTTAGCTGATCATTATCATGTTTCTGTTCGTGCGCAAATTGGCAGCTGCATTCCCATATTACACCTGTGATCATGCTTCAAAATACTTCATTGGCTGTAAAGTGCTTTGGGATGCCCTGAGGTCACAAAATGCGCTATATAAATGCATTTTTTTTTCTATATGCAGAAACTGTAGCATAAAATCTAGGTCAACACTCCCAGTGCAGCAGTGAGAGTGTAGCACTGTTGGAGGTGCCATCTTTTGAATGAAATGTTAAGTCAAGGCCCTCTTGGGTGGGTATAAAAGATTCCAGAGCAGTATTTGAAGCGAGGTGTTCTCCCTCGTATTCTGGCATCAATGTTTATCCCTTCAACCAGCATTGCTTACAAACAAACTAACTGGACATTATCAAAGTGCTGTTCGCAGGAGCTTGCTGTGCGCAAAAACCACAAAGATTGCATTGTTTTCAACATTATACTAGTGACGAGAGTTCAAAAAAAATTCATTGCCTGTAAAGCACTTTAGGAAGTCCTGAAGTCTTTGAAATCTGTTAATGTCTTAATTTAGCAACCATCTTTATAATGTTGAGCAGTTGATCATTTTGGAAACTTCTTTCCCAATCATTTCACAATGCTTGTGTCCGTGAAGTTAGATCTAGAGCTAACTGCAATAGTTGTATCAATGGTTTGGGTGCTTTAAAGCTAAACACTCTTTCTTCTTCTTCTTTTTTTTTGTTCAATCGTTTGGAGGGCTGAGAGGATGGTTGGGGGTGGGGGGCACTGAAATGACATCGCAGGAACTTGTCTAAAGAGAAATAAAGGGGAACCAAGAAGATGAAGTTTAAAAATATTAAAATTATGCATGCGTTCTAGAGTTTCTGATGTATCATGCATGCTGCTGTTATAGGTTGCGGAGGGGGCCACAAAGGAAAGGTGTGGGGTCAGCACAGCACTTGTGCATCTTTTTTGCAGTGATCTACCGCCCTGTCGTCCAGAATATTAAGTGTATGTGTCAAAGATACTACTGTTTGGACGAGATATTTAACAGTTAAACTGAGGACCCGTCTACACCTTTTTTTGAGTGTACGTAACCGGTCCCACTGACACAATTTTGAGGAGTGGGACAGTTTCCTGCTGTCCTAGCCAATATTTACCCCTGACATCACTTTTTTGTTTTTATTTAAAGGTAAATGGGGCCTTTGGTTATTATTGCATTGCCGTTTTGTGGGATCTTGCTGTGCGCAAACTGGCTGCTGCATTTCCTATGTTACAATAGCTTCTAAGCTTTTTTAAAAAAGTACCTCACTCTAAAGTACTTGGGGACTTCCTGAGGTTGTGAAAATCACAATATGAAAGCAAGGCTTTTTTTTTTCTCTCTTCTTTCATGTTCCCTGTCTATTTGGCTGCAAGCCCTCACCACCTTTTAAAGAAACCAGGAAAATCTAAATTTAAATGTGAACTGAGTTGCATGCAGGGAAAAAGTATTTTTTAAAAAGATTTTTGTAGTGTCTGCAACATCCTATTGTGCAGCCCTCTGAGCTGAAATATGATCTCCATGCAACATCCTAGCTGTGACAGGGTGCTTGTCACACTGGCCACCCTTCCCCTCTCCCTACTGTGCCCCTGGGTGGGTCAGGAAGCAGTCATATGCAATCTGTTATTGCAATGCCTGCAGCTGGATGAGGATGTGAAGTTGCAAGGAGGAAAGAAACTGTGTGCTCTATTCATCTGAATTTGTAGGGCTTAGTTGACAGTAGTTTTGTTTATTTTATTAAATAAAATGCACACATTACCTGAATGGTATCTTCTGTATTGTAGGTGGGTCAATTCATTGCAACCTGCTAGAGTAACCCGCTGGGGTGGCATGATCTCCACCCCTGATGCAGTTCTGCAAGCAGTCATTAAGCGGTCTCTCATAGACAGCGGGTGCCCAATGTCCATAGTCAATGATCTCATCGAAAACGCACACGAGAGGAACTGGCCTCAGGGCCTGGCCACTTTAGAGACGCGTCAAATGAACCGCAGGTACTACGAGAACTATGTAGCTAAACGAATCCCAGGGAAGCAGGCAGTGGTGGTGATGGCGTGTGAGAACCAACACATGGGAGAGGACATGATCATGGAACCTGGTTTGGTGATGATCTTTGCTCATGGTGTGGAAGAAATCTTTTAGAACAAACAGTGTGTTCCTTTTGGTTTGAATGAAGTTCATAATGAGAAGAAAGCAAGACTTGGCCTTGCCCTAACTAGAATATCTTCAGTGGAAAAAGTATTCTACAGAGTCTTCACATCTATTTGCATTATGGACTATTTGACCAATGGCTTTTATGCAGCTCAAAACTGGCTTAAAGAATGAGAGCTTGCAGCTCACAGAACACTTGTCACAACCTTTTTAATTTATTCTTCCAAGATTGAAAGACTAAAGGCAAGAAGTACAATTCTGATGCCCATTCCAGTGCTTGCTGCCACATGAGAAAACTAACATTTGTGGCACTATTTCACCTTACTGGTAGTGGTTTGTGTTATGCTCTGATACCTGATTCACATGTTTGTTTGTTTCTTTGCCTTGTTGCAAACAGAAAATAGTAGTGGACAATATTTCTATTGTAGAAGCTGCTGCTATACTGTGGTCGAGTGTAGAATATGAAAGTGTTTCTGTGATCATTTTGGAGGGAAAGTCTTTTCAGGTTGCTCTGTTCGAGCAGAGCTCACAGACAAACTTTAAAACAAATAGATTTTAGTCCTGTATGTACTATACGGCTTAATATCCACTAGAGCAATCAAAATGACTCTGATTTGCTGCAAACAAAAACTGTCAACGTTCAGGCATGATTAAAAACGGTTTTTGCAAAACCCAAGTGGGATGTGGGGTAATATGTGGAACGTGAATAATCACTTGAAGTGTGGTTTACTAAGTGCCCAGTCAGGGGGTGAGATGAATTGAATTTGCAACTGCTACAGGGCATTGCAATTGCATTCACTTTTTTTTTTTTTTTTTTGCTTTGACCCTATACCAATATTAATCACCTTTTAATCTAAATCCTACCTTCTTTTGGATTTGCCTTGAACTGAATTACTAAACTTGATGTCAAATGACTTCTGAACAGAGTCTTGTGCAAGAATGGCCAAAATTGGAGTGATGTGCCTCCAGTGGGGGAACAACCAAAAGATTGGCCTTTTTTAAAAATAAATGATCCTGTAACTAATCCTGCTTTTAAAATCCTGTAAGTATTTTATTGTGTAATGTAGCCAGGATGCCATCTTGATTTTGAAACACTATGTCTACAAATACCTGAAGGTGTGTGTGTGTGTGTGTGTGTGTGTGTGTGTGTGTGTTTTCGTGTAAATGTCAAAAGTAACCCAGCTACGTTCTCCTCTGGATGGATATTGAATGCATGATTGCAGGCCACAAAGTTACAATGAAGGCTGAGCTAGCACAGGATTGCCAAAAAAATATATGAATGAAAGGAATCGTAGAAAGCCCAAGTATAACATGTACATTTTTTAAAAAAATGTAATTCACTTGGCTTTGTTTCAGTGGAACTGACTGAAATAGGTATCAGTACTTTGGTAACTACCTAATATTGGACATTTTAACTGACTTCAAATGGGAGCTGTGCTTCCCTCCTGTCCCTGCTCCTGCTGCAAATTATTACATTTTGACCCAAAGCAGCCAAGAATGATCAGACCAATTGCCACTGGCAAGAGGTTTGGAATATGGTGCTTCAATTCCTGACTTGAGGGGTAGGGGGGACAATGTTGTTAATCTATACATTCTAGTTAGAGTTTATGTCTGTACATATTATTTCAATTTAAAATCTTGCTGTTTGGGAGTTTTTTGCTTTGTCCACAAATTGGTAAATTCTCTCCCTCAGTATTCAAAATCTGAAGTTTACAAAAACCCTTGCAAGTGTGAAACACGGTTTAACCTTTTGTTAGGGTTTGAAACTGGGTCTGTGGGATTGATTCAGTCCTGGGCAGTTTTTTTTTTCTTAAAAGCTGAGTTCAGATCCAGCAAATCTTTATCATTGTCCCTTGTGCAGTTCCTACACCTTTCAAACTGTAGGGAAAGCTTGTCCATAAGTCTTGAATGTAAACA